ATTAGGTTAAATGAGAAGGTTGTTTCATTAAGCAAGGAGTTTTTGTTATAGAAATGCAACAATTCTTGTTTTGGAGTATTATTTTGTGATATTTGGGCAAAGTAGGTAATAAGTTCGTTAAAATTCCTTACATGGTCAGGGATGTATTTATTTTGTTTCAAAGTATATTTAGTTTTTTTAGTTCAGCCCATTTTTCCTTTTCTGAGCAATTCTGAAACTTTTAATTTAGATATGTTTTTTTTTCTGCTCTAATAGCAGAAGTGGTCAGGTTTCTTAATTGTTTATAATAGTCTCGATGACCAGGTTGGTGCGTTCATCTAAAACGAGAAAGAGCTTGATTTCGAAGCCTTTTCATAAACTTATTATATTCAATATACAAGCCAGTCAGTTACATATCGGCCACCCTGTATATTAAATAGCATCATCAGAACGTCAAACTATCTCTTCTAAAGTCCAATGTACATGAATATCCACGGTCATATCGACATATGGTACATTCCTCCTATTTCCAAACATACCCGTTAGGTACATGCAGCCCTCACCCTGATATTAATAACCCTGACTATATGCAAACTGAATCGGCTCCATATTATCCGTCATGTTATTTTAATCGCAACTTTTAATGCCGAATATAAAAGTGGAACCAACCCGAATTTGCATTGAATCCAGTGCACAATTTCACTGTTGGTTTGAAATTTACATATTAATCCATTTCAAGTTTTGTAATTTATGAATTCCATTTTAAATCGACACAATATTCTAGCCATTTTAGTTTAGATTTCCCAATTATCGTTCGTCGGCCTGGATCCGACATGTCAATACACTGCATCATTGTTTAGCCTTCAAATAATTGAAATCGGAGTTCGTTCAATACTATGGAGGCTTACTACTTCGATATCCTTTTACTTCCTACGCCAATGGCTGAAACATTATTAAAATCGCAAAACGTTTCGAAAACGGGATATCATGTTTTTGACATCATCACGCAAAACCATGCCACTCATTTTCGACGGTCTGTCGGTCTGTTCGCTAGTACTTGGCCCGCCCATAACTTCGAAAGTACTGCTCGGATTTGGATTAAACGTTTATACAAAGTTACTGCTGTGCCAAGGATGAAAAAGCGTTGTAGTTTTTCCAAATCAATCCAGTGGCGGAGAAGGAACAGGCCAGAAAATAAAAAGGTAACATTCGCCCAATCTCTGTTTTTTGACATTTCAGATGATCCAGATCATTTTTGAAAAAGATTTTACTGGTGAAAATTAGGCTGGTGGTGGTTATATCTCAATTTCATATACAGGGTGTTTCAGAACTAATGGTTCAAACTTCTAGGGGTTATTTAGTGTAACAGTAGAAAACATTTGAGTATAATTGACTAAATAGGATTTAATGCATTTAATTTTTGCCTTTTACCGATTTAAACGTCGCACATGATTTCGGCGGACTTGACTAAAAATTTGATACTCGTTTTGAATGATTTCAAATGCTGCTGTAATTCGTCCAATTAAGTCTTGCTCTGTTTCTACTGGAGTTTCGTAAACCAAAGACTTTACATGTCCCCACAGGATTCATTCAGGTTGGAGGAAGATATTTTGAACAATTGTTGTGATGATATCATGTAAAAAAGGCCAACATTAAATGCATTACATCCTATTTAGGCCATTCATCGTCTTTCTAAACTTTAACGCGTTTTAAGGCCGTAGTGCCGTAGTGACACTTTTCCGGATATGGGTCCCTATACTCAAATGTTTTCTACTGTTACACTGAATAATAATAATAATAATAATAATAATAATAATAATAATAATAATAATATTTATTTGCTTTCAATTCAGTTACAAATGTTACAGGTGAAATAAAAAATATGCAAATAAATATGAAGTACCCACAGAAGGCAAAGCCAGTGCGTGGTGAGATGTCTATCCAATATTCAGTCTATATCAGTATAATTGTCATTATAGGTACAGTAGTCATAATCGGGTGTGCGACGAATCAGAGGATGTCACATTAGGAAGTTCGTTTGCCTTAGTTGCTGCATGCTTGGATGTGCTTAACCTTATGTATATATTAAGAACTTTTAAAAAAAATCCTTGAAAGTTTGAAAAAAGGTTTTAATTGTTTTCATATATATTTGAGAGAATTAGCTGATGTATGTGGAGGTGATCTATTTCATTAATCCACTTTATTTAGTTCTTTTTTAAACTGCATAGAATTATACTGTTTTAAAATAATAGGCAAAATATTATGAAGCTTCGGTCCTAGGTATTGGAATGACATCTGCATGACATTGACATGAGGCTTTGGTAAACATGCTTTCACTTTATGTCGGGTATCATAGTCATGCTCAGTTTAGCGTAAGTTATGTTTTAGTTGGTGCTGCTTCATCATGGTCTGAATGAAGCAGAGTTGTCGAATATCATGCACTGCAATTTCGGTATATAATTGTTCTGTTGGGTATGTTCTTGCCTTTAGAATGTACTTTTGTATGGTCTCAAGATTTTTCATGTGTGTCTTACACACGCGATCACACCATACCTCAAATGACTGTCAACTAGTAAATAATAGAGTACGTTCATTTGATAGAAGTCATAGTATTTCATAAGATATTTAAATTTGTAAAGTATTGTACGCAATTTTTTAATTACCAAATGTATGTGCGTGTCCCATTTAAGGTAGAATCTAGGTACACTCCCAGATATTTGACACCGCACGAAGACGTTAGTTGTAATTGTTCATTTTGGTTGTTCTTCAGCTTTATGTTTAAATTTGAATATTTGGGCATATATCGTCCACAGGATGAAAATGGGATGTAACAAGTTTTGTTGTAATTTACGGTTAAAAGTCTAGAGGTGAACCATTCGATAATCTTGCAAAATTCTGTTTCTGTTAGAGTTTTTAGGTTTTTCCAGGTTTGAGGACTGTATATGATGGCCGTGTCGTCAGCAAAACTTATGATTTCTCCTCGATTTTCTAGTAAATATAGTTGGTTAACGTAAATGTTAAATAATATCGGTGCCAATACAGTCCCTTGTGGTATTTCAAACTTCGCTGTTCTACCATCACTCAAAGTATCATTAATCTGCACATAATGTGTCCTATTTGATAGGTAGGATTTCGTTAATAAAGCCCCGAGGAGTTGGTTGTGGCTAACTGTATCGAATGCCTTCTTTAGGTCCACAAAGACACATAGAGTTGGGTCCTTGGAGTGTATATTACTGGAAACCTTAGCCATAAAATCAAGTATTGCATCATCTGTTGACTTCGCTTGTCTAAATCCAAATTGTTTATTAGATATTATTTTGTAGTTACCTAAGTAAGCTATCATCCGTTTTTTCAGAATCTTTTCAAAAATGTTGGCTAACGAAGATATTAACGATATAGGTCGGTAGTCAGTTACTTCCGACCTTTCCCCAGTTTTGTACAGGTATATGAGTGTTATTATTGCAGTTTTGAATATAGCTGGGAAATATCCACTCTGGAATATTTTATTAAAAATATATCTTAAAGGTGGGGCTATTTCAGATGATATGATCTTAAGGTGCTCAGGCCGGATTGTGTCCAAGCCCGGGGACTTTTTGTTTTTTAGCGAATTTATTGTTTAAATTATTTCTTCATCGCCTGTATCATAAAGAAAGAATGAGTTTTGTTGAGAGTGCTGTGGAAAATTTGTATTAGTGTCTATATCTTCAATTAGCTTATCTGAGAGAGTCTCACCTACATGTGCATAATAATCGGCAAACCTATTTACTATCATTTTTCTGTCAGAGCTTTTATTGTCATCATGTAGTTTAATTTATTATTATTATTAATTTTAATTTATTCCGGGTTGATTGTTGCCTCCTGTCAATTTGTTCAGGGACCCCTACAGGTTTGATCCCATAATTCTGAAACCCCCTCTATTAGTATATTTATACGCTCCCAGCCCTGGTGATTCTATGGGCCATATCTCATACGTCATACATTTGTGGTTAAAACTTACAATGACATCCACGTTTTTGATGGTGTCCTTTTGCTATCTGTGCTCGGCGTTCGGCGTAACGATCTGCTTGATTGTATTGCTGATACTGCAGTGGTGCTTCGTTGGGCGCTGTTGCGTAATTGTATGGACCTGTTTAACTGACTTGATTTGTTTAACTTTTCTATTGTACATGTTCGTAATTAATTTTCTTTAGAGGCTTCAACTTGTGCAGAGTCAACCTACTCGAAACCAGTTTTCTGAATCACGAAATATAAAAAGCTACAGCTTTGCCGCTCTAGAGCAAAAAACGCTCGCTACTGGTTACGGTCTTTGTAGGCCTACCCTGTATCCCACTAGAAAATAGAATATGCAACTCACCACCTTTATACAGCGCCTGGCAACTGCCAGAATGCAGTATGATAATTTTCCTTTGTTTTAACATTAAAACTAAGATTGTAATTTTGTAATTCAGTTAAAATCTAGCCTTCACGACAATCACTACTTGTAATTTCGGAAATAAAATATTTTTAAAAGCACTTACGCGAAATGCGAAATATTAGTTATTATCAGTTTCACATCTATCTATATACAAGGATTTACCCAAAAATAACCGGAATAGCAGTACAGTGGCCGGAGCTTGTGTAGTTACTCATTTCTGCCCCCAGAGGCCTATAGCGAAACTCATTACCAGTTCAGTGCCACCTGAGTTCTCGATCTGGCTTGTTTCTTTCCTCTGTAGTCATTATTTTTGCTAGAGCTGTTTCGTGCTTGTTTCGTTTTTACGATGGCAAGCCTTCAGTGAGCAACGAGCAGCTGTGAAATTTTGCTTCCTAATTGGTAAAGATGCCGCTCAAATTGTTTTTATGTTGAAAATAGCTTACAAAGGTATAAGATACTTTTCTCATCAACTGCCCGAATCGACGAAAATGTTGAAATAATTCGAGAGCTTATGCTTGCAGACCGATGACTGACAATCGGTCAACTATCCGTCAGTAGTGGGTTGTCCTGGAGTTGGGTTCAGCGAATTTTAACAGAAGATTTGGGAATGAAAAGGGTTGCTGCCGAGTTTGTTCCTCGAGCTCTGACTGACAATCAAAAAGAACACCGAGTTGAAACATGTCATGCTTTGAGACAACAGCTTGAATTTGATCCAAATTTTCTGTCAAAGATCATCACTGGTGATGAGACTTGGTGCTACGGTAATGACCCAACATCGAAGCAACAGTCAAGTGAATGGAAGACGCCGTCGGTATCCCGTCCAGAAAAATGTCGTCAAATCAAATCAAACATCAGAACAATGCTGATTTGTTTCTTTGATGTCAAAGACGTAGTCTATTCCCAGTTTGTTCCCCCAGGTCACACTGTCAATCAGACCTTTTATTTGGAGGTTTTAAGATGATTGCGAAACAGTGTTCGGCAAAAAGACCCCATTTGTGACAGTAAGGAGACTGGCTCCACCACGATAATGCACCTGCGCACACAGCCATCTCTGTTCGACAGTTTCTGGCTAAAAATGGCATGGTTCCGCTGGCAATTTTTCTTATTTCTACGGATGAAAAGGGACATGACAGGGCGCCGCTTTGACGACATTGAATAGGTCAGGAAAACAACGATGGAGGAGCTGTTTCACATTTCTAAGGGAGGCTTCAAAAAATGTTTCGAGCAGCGAAAGCACCGGTGGGACAAGTTTATTAGTTGTAGTGGACAGTATTTTGAAACAGATAATTTTGCTTTGTGAAAAAGTTGAAAATGAATAGCTTTTAAAAAATAACTTCCTCTTCTCTTCTTGGGTAAACCCTCGAAAATATATAAAAATGAATCCCTATTTCCCGTGGTCACGTCATAACTTGAGGACGACTTCACCGATTTCGTTCATCTTTTTTTCAAAGCTTCCTAATACTGCATAGAAGGTTCTTATGGACAATGGGCGTTTTAACCGTTTCGTGGGCGCGAATAAGATAATTTCAATATTCAAGATGTTATAAATGAAATAAGATTAAAAACGTATTAATTTTATGAATCTATTTAATTTTTTTCTCCATTATCAATCTTCGTGAAGTTATTCATTGTGGGAAGTATCATTCCCACCGCCTATGTACTTTCATAGATTTTATCAAAAGAAAAAGAAACAAAAAGTGAAATATGAACTTTTTTTTATTAAAATATAGATACCAAAATAAAAATGCAAGTCAAATAAAATAAACAATGGCTTAATTACTATTTGCCGTGGAATCTGTTGAAACAAGGTTGGATGCATAAAGGAACTTGGCATGATGAACACATGTATCTTGTTCTTTTTTCTGCGGCTTTGGTGCTGCAAAGTCTGCACCGTTTATACGTTGCTTGTTGGATAGGAAGATGTTTACCAACGTCAGCTAAACGAACCTCGTCAGGCACAGCTCGCTTATTCGAAAGAAATTGTACAGGTTTGTTTCTGCGTTTCCTAGATGTGTAACCGTTTATAAGTTGCCTTGCCAAATTGGTTCTAAATGGCAACTGATCGACAGTTCGCTTTCGATTGATTTTCATTAATATAAACGAATTGACAATAGACATATCTATCAGATAATACAAAATGCGATGCCACCATTTCGTTGATCTACGACCAACAGCATATCGTTCGTGAAGCTGGTCGAACTTATCTACACCTCCCATTATTCGATTGTATTCAGCTACCACTTTCGGGCAATAAACAGTCTGTCTTTCGCCAGCCTTGTTTCTTGGTAATACAGTTGTTGTATCTTTAGGACAAAAGTAATTTGTAAGAACATACACATTTTTACTGTCCAACCATTTGATAGCGAATAGTTTTGCTTTTGTTTCGAACATAAATTCTCCACGCTGAAGTTTCGTTTTATCCTTATATATATCTGGCAAGTTCTTTCGATTTGATCGCACTGTACCTAGAGCATATATTCCGTCCTTTAGCAAAGTTTCCATTAGATTTACACTAGTAAAGAAATTGTCAAATGCTACCATACAATCCTTATTTTTCAGAGAAGAAGTAAGATTTATTACTACCCTTTCTCCTAAGCCATAATTTTGCTTTTCTGAATCGGAGGTTTTGCCTGTGTATATATCAAACTTACATATATACCCTGTAGCAGAGTCAGCTAAACACCAAACCTTGTATCCTCGTTTGACCGGCTTCATAGGCATATATTGCTTTATTGAGGAACGTCCTTTGAAGACGATCATTGATTCGTCCACAGCCAGGTAACTAGAGTGATTGAATGCCTTGGGGAATGACTCATTGAGGATATCAATCAGGGGCCTTACCTTGTGTAATTTGTCGTACCCTGATTCGTGCTTTGGTATAACTTTGGTGTTATCATTTACATGAATATTCTCTATTAGTTTTTTATACCTCTTGGAAGGCATGACTTGTGCGCTTGTGCCACTGGCGAAACTGCCAAAAATGGATCACTTGACCAATAATTGGCCAAATGCGGAAGTTGATGTATTCCCATTATTATCATAACTCCTATAAGAGCTTTGATCTCTTCTATGGAAGTGTTCTCCCAATTATTTGAAGGGCCTGGCCCCGTCTTCTTGTTACTCTTCCTCGGAAGGTCTTGACAAGCATACAAATTAGTTTGGTCGACAATGAATTCCAGAATGTCCTCGTTTAGTATTTGATTGAAGTAAATAATTTCTTTAGCGTGTTCAGAAATTTGCACAACAGGTTCAGGAGTTTTACAGAAGTCTATATTTTTGTCATGTATATGGTCACAGCTTGGCAACCAAGATCGCTTTTCATTATCTTTATCTCGGGCCTCATCGTCACTGAGTGATTCCTGAATTGATACCAACTCTGGTGTTACCGAGTGTAAAAATTCGATATCCGGTTCTGGCGACAAGGGTACAGTAACGTTCCTAGCTGAAGTTGTTGAAGAATTTCGAGGAGAATTAGTGTAACTTGTATCAGAAGTTGTAAAGTCTAGAAGATCAATTTCTTCATTTGCGCCATCGTCCGGTTCTTCATCGGAATTTTCTTCATTGTCAGGGAGACTGTAGAAAAAGTCAAGAGCCTGTTGTCGGTGCTCAGGATTATCCAAATTGCACATTACTAAAAAAAAAAACGTTTGATAATAAATCTGAATTGTCTAGTGGGAAGAATATTTCCCACCATAAGAAATTTATTTTATATCTTTGGGCGGTGGGAAGTATATTTCCCACCTACAAATCTCTGTTTTGTAACCATATAGATGAAAAAAATTAGATAATATGCAATAACATATGTCACTTACAACTAATCACAACAGATTTAGCCAAAAAAGTCTTATCCCTTACCTGATTGTAACGATGTTTTCGGATTAATTCTCAAAACACAAAATTTGCATGATAAAAATGGTCAAAGCATGTGCTTACATATAAAACGAGCAAAATAATGGGTTGCATATCATGCGTATTTGGCTATTTCCACTTTAATAGTGTATTGTCATGTTTCCAAAAGATGGCAGCACCGATGCCTTTGAAGAATATTTCGCTAGATTACTCCTAGAACACACTTTGAACGGTGGGAAAAATGCTTCCCACCGCCTACGAAAGGGTTAAGAGAATTGTTTCTAGGACGCGTAATCTCATTACATGGATATGTTGGGTGGACTTGCCACTTTTTCCTTTGGGGCTACGTAAAAGCGAAGGTTTTTCAAGACCATCCTCGAACCATTGATGAAATGAAACGTGTGATTTGCCAAGGAATTACAGAAATATCTCCTTAAATTATTGCTTGAGTGAAGGAAACTTTCAGAAATCAGCTTCGAATGTGTATCGAAAACAATTTGGACTAATTTACAAAACTTAATAGAAAAAAATGGCATACCTAGCATATGTTTTCAGTTAATAACAATAAAATCTAAATAGCTTGTACAGTGCTGCTTTTGTTAAAGCTTTAAATGTGGGAGATCATTTGGCCGGACCCTGTATACTTAATTGATTATAATCTAATAGATTTAAAAATCCTGTGACGCATGTATTCTTAGCATTCAGGGCATGCTGTACCACCCACATATATTTGTTATGGCTATTCCCTGCTGCACTATAACACGTAGTGTTATTTTTAACAGCTAGCAAAGCCGTAAATCATCAAAACATGTTCATTTACACTCGGCATGCATGAGCAGGTACCCTTTTTATAGTGGAAACTCCTCGTAAGGTTTAACACTTCGTACAGCATATCGGCCTTCTTTCTTTTCCTTTGTTCCACTTCTGGCAACTGTCCAAGTTTTATCTGGAAATACCAGTTGTTTAGGAGCTATAGATTCCAAATTTACTACTGCATCCATACTGACTTTCTGAACCGCTTTGTTCTCCAGCGTTTTATACATTATGAAAATCGAACTAGACACTTCCTTGTTGAGGTGGTAGCATGCTACCTTGCTTTGTTTCTTGCTGTTAAACAAAAACACTCTTCATAGTGAGTGAGTTTTTAGTATGTAATTGGTTATTAGCTCTGCTAATCTCTAAAAAGGTCACCAAAATTTTAGGCAGCTATACGCTGCTTACTTGGAAAATATGCCGCTATCTATAGAGTGATTTACAACTACATGCCAATACAAACTTACATTTTTTAAATGGAATACCCTGTATTCTTTAGTATATCTTGAAATGCCTCTCTAAGGGCCATTTTCACCAACATTAATATTTGACGGTCAGTTGGACCAATAGGAAAAGACCTTATTGAAATGCAATTTGATGGAAGCTGTCAAAGCTCTCTGAATATCTCTGAATAGCAGTGATTTCTATTGAAATGTTGAATAAAGTCGCGAAAAAACGGCTGCCGTATAAATAAGGGTACATTATAGATGAATTATTATGTCTTTGTGCTTTAGACTTAGGATAACTTTCACAGAATTTCAAATTTTCATCATTTCACAAAAGACGGTCAGTTATTTAAATGCACCAATGAAAATGAGAGAAATAATAGGTCGATTTTCTAGCTATTATATTTAGTAGGATGTTTTCACTATTTTTGACGACTGTTCATGCATGGGAATCTAGTCTAGTTGTCTGTATATCACGTACAGGGTGTTGTACATAATACGCACCTGTACAAATGTACCGATTTTTGTTATTTTGCAAAAAAGGGATATAAAACGTATTCTAACTGGTTCATCACCTTTTGTTACATCAAAAACAATTAATTTTTGGCAATTCATGATCTAGAAATCCACAGCAAATGTAAACAAAAAGCACATTCTGCATTTCTGGGTCCTAAAACATCGATATTTGTAAAAATATCCGCATCCAGCTATTATTCATCATCTAGATATTATAAGTCGGAATCAAAAATACCTATTTATGAAAATATATCTCCAAGCATTGATATATTTTCTTATTATTTCTGTTATTATAACACATGTGGGTTACCAATTGCTTTTAAAGTGATCTGCACATCTGCTGTGTTGCCGAACCGGCAAAAAAAAAACGGAATCGGTAAATAGTGTCGTTGAATTCGGTATAAGGTAAATGCCGCCCCAAGATCAGTGGTAGATCAAGGACCTTTGAGTCATGAAAAACGTCTGTTATTGTATTGGGCGCGCACACATGTTTTTCGAGGGCATAGTTCTATATTACAACTTCTACAATGTGCATACTGGTCGCTCTTTCAAAGTACTTTGCAACCATTCTGGAAACTCCTTTTTCGATCCTTGCTTATAGGATTGCGAATATTTTTCTGTTTCACCCCTAAACTCATGAACTCACCTCTCATTTTAATTAAATACTTATTTTGAAAACAGCCAGGTTTCGGTTTCTTTATTGCTTGTCCGGTGATGAGGTAATGAAGGTAATCTACCAGTCTGTACCTCTGGTATGCACCAAAATCAATTCAGGGCAAGGGGAGTAAGGGATGAGGATGTGCGTTAGTAATCATAGGCAACCCAAATCTACGCCTCTCATGTGCCCGACTGCCTGAGTCCGTATGCATATTTATGATTGATATGGGGCATAAAACTAACTAACTTTATTTATGGTTTCAGATCTTTTTCGGCAAGTATAGAAATATTTAAATTATTTTGAAAAATCGTGGAGAATGATGATATCGGTAAATATTCGCTTTTCGGTAAAAATACCGAAAAATCCGGTTCAAGTCCATTGATAAGCAATCTGAAATTTGCAATATGAATTTATATTCTAAATTCTATGCATATCCGTTCATATTCGTCAATATCTCATTTGAAGCTCTTATTTGTCATAAGATTTTAGGAAACCTACTTCTGTAATCTGTAAGATATAGTTGAAAATGTTTCGTGGAATCGTGTTTCATAACTAGCTCAGTGAATATGTAGCTATTTTTCAATTTTCCTTATTGTTTCCATTTTTTTCAAAATCGATGAAGGTTTCATTCTTCATTATCAGAACTGTGCGAGTGTCAGAAACATGTAATAATTTCAGCAATTTTCAGTTTACTTACGGAAATACTTTATTCTAAAATTTTACAAGCAGCGTTTTCTAATATAACTACTTTTAATTAGAACATTGCTCCAATTTATTTAACTTCTTATCTGTCTTATGCATTATTTTAATAGAAATGGAACAACTTTATTCATCCAAATTCAACAAGTTTCTGTGCAAGGTAGCATTGGAACCAATGGAAACAGACCTGAACGTGTTTTATAACACAACCCACTTCTGGAGTTACCAAACATTCGGCTTCGGCTTCAACCGAACGTTATGTTAAAAGCCGAGCATTGGTTTCGGACCAAAAAATTTACCTTCAGTAAGACCTTATGGATTGATTTTAGTCAGTGTGCCGCATTTCTGGAGAATCTCACACTTCGGGTGGGAAAGGCCGACAGGGTGATAATACCGATTTCTCCCATTTAACTGCGATGAAAAAAAATGTGAAGAAACTGTTCCAGGTATGGTCATCTATTTCTAGTGTTAGCTGAAAAATTTCGTTGTCTCTACGCAACGTTATCAGATAATTCCCAATGTTAAAAAACATGATAGATTGGCGCCTACAGAATACAGAGCCTGCCTACTTTGCCCCATTCTTTCTCAGTAGATTACACGAATTAGGAGACATTCCGGACAAGGGTCGCAGAAAGGGCAGGTCATAAAATACAAAACGAACCTGTGTATCGCATAAGTGGTGGAACAATACGATGATGATTCAGTACAGGGTTTTAATTGCCGCGAGTCTCATAAAACATGCCAAATTAATCGCGTTATTCGAATATTATGTAAATTATTCGCCCTAACCCTTTTTAGATTTACACCACTTTGGGAAGGTGGCGACATAATTAATTGAGTGAAATTGTTTATAGTATCGGTTTATGAGGATTTATTGCTGTAGATTGCTTAAAAGTGAATCATTTGTCGTATAAGGGTATCTCTTTTTGCTTGGGGTGTAAGCACACAATACTGATCAAGGGTACGCAAAAAATTGTAGAACATTTAAAGCCTTAGCTTTATAGTAACAAAATTTGCAAGACAAGGTCGTCACATCGATAACTGAAAAGATGACAACTACAGGGTGTGTCACATATTTTAAGGCTGTCATTCCGATCAGCATCTACAATCCATCATATCGGTGTGTGCCTAAATTACGGTAGGACCTTTACCGGGAAGAAATATTCAGTAATGGACAAAAGTATATAGACAAATATGAATATTTACCTAAATACATTTAGAAAACGAATTCATACTTCATTACTCCATAAACAAATGCGTTATTAGTAGAAAAACTAAATTCCTTGTTTTTACATTCTCTGCAATGAACACAAGTCTGAATATAAGCACTTTTTTATGAGGGACAAAAATATGTAGACAAATTCTTTTCAACATTAGTTTAGTACAGTTTCGTGTCAGAAGAGGATTAGTTTGTGTTCATCAAGTATTGTGGAATAAGTTCGAGTGATTTTAAGACCATGCCGCATGGTCCAGAAGTTTCTTTCGATGTGAAAACTAAGATCATTGAGTTATACAAAGATGGTCAACGTCAAGTCGACATTGCCAAACATTTGAAGCTGAAGCGTAAAGCAGTTTGGGCAATATTGAACAAACATAAACAAAAAGGTATCCTGGAAGCCTCTAAGGGCAGTGGTCGGCCTGGACATCTAAATGCTAGATCAGTTAGATTAATAAAAGTAGTTTCGTCCAAAGATCCGTTTAAAACCCCAAGACAAATAAAAGCCGAAATCGAGACAAAAGGAGTTGTCAGTGTTTCTACGAAAACTATAAGTAGAAGATTAAATGATTTGAAGTAATTTGCACGTCGCCCGAGTAAGAATCCGCTAATCTCGAGGAAAAACCGTAACGTAAGGACCGATTACAATTTGCACGGTTGCATCTTGATTGGAGCATCTGTAACTGGAAGAGGGTATGTTTCACTGACGAATCCAAGTTCAATATGTTTGGATCATATAGTGTTCATTACGTTAGACGTCCTAGTGGACAAAGATTGAACCCCAAGTACAGTTTGCCCACTGTCACGCATGGAGGCGGGACTGTTATGATTTGGAGGTGCTTTTTGGGGTTTGGGATGGGACCTTTACATAGAATAGATGGCATTATGGATAAGTTTGTATACACAGACATACTAAAGCATGTCA